TTATTATGTTGTGATGATGTTGTTTGTACTGTTCTTTAATATTATTAAAGAGGGTCCTGAATATCAATTAACCTACTCTGCTAAACTAGAAGGGTTACCCTCTATAAAAATTTTAAAAAAATTAAATAAATAAACAAATAAATACCCACTCTGACCCAAGACCCATGTTACGCGCCTGGTGTTAGCTAGATGTGTATAAGAGACATTGTGCGGACAGGAGATGTGCCCCCCTCTGAAGCTGGAAACCTTGTTTTTGCAAAATAAATTGATGCAATTTGCTATTATAGGCCTAATCAATAAATTCCTCATCAACCGATATAACCACATTCTTGGAATTGACATAATATTACTGATGTCCTACACACCCTTCAGTGTGAAATGTGGCTTTCTTTGCAAGCACATCTAACATCTAAGGAAAGAAGAGCTTAAATTGGTACCATATAAAATAATTTTGTTATCAACATTAATACATAAGTTATTTCTGTGACAGTCGTTTGAAGTGTGCAAAGCTCCATTTTATCCCATACATAGTCAAAATATTGGGGGGAGATGATACAATGGACCATCCCCCCCCCCATGTCAAATATTGGGGGGGATATATCCCCCATCCCCCCGGGATCTACGCCTATGACCGTATGCGACACGTACAGACTGTACCATTTTTTACGTGACTCACGTCCCGTGTATGCTATACGTACCAATCTGTAACACCCATGACCAAGACGTGACATTTGTGTATGTGATACGTGTGGTCTTCAACACCTACCGTATGTATGTCAGATTGTAACATGTTGACGTGACTCCCGTGTAGTCTACACGTATCATCATTCTGTAACACCCATAACGTGAGGCCCGTGTATATGACACATACAACAATATAATATAGTTCCACGTCTATGTGGTAGAACATTATATTCCTTATATTGCAATTAATATATTGTAATAATTTAATATAGAATAGTAAAATTATAATATAAATAATTATAAAGAAAATTGTAATCTCTCAAATTTAATTATGTAATGATATGGCAATGGTGGTGGTGGTGGTGATGATGAAGATAATGATGGCGATGTTAACAATATACATACAGTATTAATATAAATAATGATAATACTAATATAAATAATATAAAAATAATAATATAAATAATAATAATAACAAAAACAACAACAACAATAATAATAATAAAATAATGATAATAACAAAAATAACAAAAAATAATGATGATAATAATAATAGTTCTGTACAGCTCCTTACAATCGCATCCCAGCGCAATTCTGTCTTTAAAACATATTTCATCTATCTCAAGATTATTGCATATTACATTTTGACCTCCGGAATACTCTCTATAGTAAATGTACATATGGCAGGATCATCTACAATGACTTCCACATCATTAAACGATAAATGACTCCCATTGTCATATTTATCAAAACTATTAATACTGGTTTTGGTGGACGAATAATTTTCTGTAGACTCCTTCAAGCTTGAAACGGCACGAGGATTTTCCTCTTTGATAGAAGAGATCTTATTTATGTTTCTATTCGATATTTGCGATGGCGGCATCTTCTCTTTTTCTTTACATAAGCCAATACGTCTGAACATATGTTTCAGTGCTTTTCGATATTCCTCAGTCCTTAGAGAATAGATAATAGGATTTACCCCACTGTTGGCATAGCCCAACATTCCAAACCAAACACGTAGAGATGGTGTTATGCCACAGTTACTTGGACAAAGACATTCAAGAATCATGATGACCATAAACGGTAGCCAACAGATGATGAACGCTAATACAACGAATAAGATAGTGACCGATGTTCTTTTCTCACGACTCATACTTGAACTGTGTCTTCGTAAAAGTTTAGGTAATTTAAGACCTGAAAGACTTTTCCTCGGTGCCATATATCGTTCTGACTTATTTTCCAACTGAGACTCTACAGCCTGCGGTGTGTTGGGTTTGTTAACTTCGATAACACTTTTGTAACAAGTGTTCTCTTTACTAGAATCATTTTTGACTTGTGACATCTCGTTGCTTTCGTGTTGGATTTGGATTTTTGTGTATGATTCGTTACAATATATTTGGTTGCTCGGCTCACTTGATTTCCTTTCAATAATACACTCTGTGTGATGGTCCGGTTCAATCGACCCGTTCATTGTGTTGCCAACACGGGAGTTGCTGTTTTCGTCAACAACCGAAGTTTTCCTATTTGGTCTGACGTAACTAGTACTCGGCCTGTGTTTGGCAATAACATCGTTAAACATCTGCTGCCGCTGGTCATGCAAGCGGGAATGGCTGACAGCTATCTTGAATATTTTGCTGTAAAATATCAAAATTATTACTGTTGGTAGTAAGAGTCCAACGACCGCAAACGTGATGATGTACATATCTGTAATAATCGTATCCCAGGTGCACGAAAAAAGTTCACCAGTATACCAATAATTTGGTTCCTTGTGCCAATACAACGAAGCAGTTCCGACGACGATGGCACCAAACCAAGCTAAGGCAATAATGATGTTGCTTTTAAATGACGTCATCAATAAAGGGTACTTCAGTGGTTCTGTGATGGCAACGTAGCGATCAAAAGACACGGCAATTAAATTAAATACAGATGCACAGCATAGAGTTATCATAAGACAAAATGGCGTTACACATATTTGAACCGATGTTAAAAAGAAATCAGGAAAATACTTCGAAACAAGCCCAATTGGTATGATTAGTCCAACAAGGAGGTCGCTGATAGCAAGGCTGAGAATGTAACGACTCGTTTTGGTTCGACGCATGGGATTATAACCGATAATTGATGCAACGACGAGCAAGTTCCCAATGACAATGAACATTTCTAAAACTACTTCAATTCCAACAGCAATGTGAAGTTGTAGGTCTTCAAGTGTGCCAACACCGACGCCGAGGTCCACGGGAATGGAAGGTTTCATCGGTATGATCGTAAGAAATGTTGACGTCGACGTTTCATCGAAGTACTCGGTTGAATTCTCATAGCTAGTTGTCATCTCGCCGCATTCATCAACCGTTGTTATAATGTGATTTCCACTTCGATCCCAAAATACTGTGTATGAAATAGATAAAAAGAGGTACTTGATGTATATAGGACCATATTTTGTAGCTAACGATTCAATGATCTGTTGAATTATTGATATATATATATATATATATATATATATAAGAATATATATATAAGAATATATATATATAATATATATATATATATATGAATATGTATATGTATGTGTATATGTATCCAGACTATGCGCATACCTGTGTAAGTAGATGACAATAGTAATAGTATTAGTTATGTTAAGAAGGTAAAATACTATTTTGTATACAAAATTACATAAAATATTATCATGTTTTGTGTGTGTTTGTAATATTTTAAAAACATGAATGAATGTGGCTTTTCCAGAAAAGAAAAAGAAATTTACGAGTTTGCCTGTCAGAATGAATATTCCATCTAATCTTTGGTCGGACTAAGCACACAATTATTCATTAATATTTACTTAAATATTATTTTTAGCGCGTAGTTAAATTATCAGTGTTCGATGATAACAATGTGAGGCAATCCTATGGCAGTTCAATTTTATACCAGAAACCAGAAGCATAATTGTCATAATCAATATTTTGGCTAATGGACCCATGGTTTTATCTTGAATGGTTGATGTGGCGGTTGCGATTATGTTTCTCAACCTTAGAAAGTCGGATGGTTCGATTCCACTTTGGATACAAGACATATCCTTGGGCAACAAAACAGGCCTATACCTTTTGTAAGTGTGTTCTGTTTAAAATGGTACAAGGTGTTTGCTGAAGGTGGGTTTGCAAGAACCCTATCCCTTTCAGTATCTGAAACTTCTAAACCACACTAAAGAGAGAAAAAAGCGCCTACTTACCACAAAATCGAGTGGGCACGACGAATGTCAAAAACGGCTATGAGGAAACAACCAAAATAATGCTCATGTGTATTTGGCATTTGATATGAAATCTGAACTTTGGACTAAATTAGGCATCTTTATGTAACGTCGAGTGAACCTAAACAATGGAACATTGTGCAAATGATTTCATTATTTTAAAAACAAAAGTGGATTTTGACCTAATATAACAGTAACACTTAACTCTATTACACAATATCAACCAACAGTTCTTGAAACACTTGGGACTATTTACAAAGCTCTTTCAAGTTACTCATAAACAAGTGACTACTTGTATTGCACATCTGTACACGTCACAAAACATCCATTATATTGTATAATTATATGAGTTATGTGGCCCAGTAAGAATAATATAAGCCGCAAAATGTGAGTAAATGCGAATCTCTTTCACTTAAATAGAGGCAGAACGCAGAATAAAAGCTATATATAGGGCCTACCGAAAAATCGTACGGAAGAAAACAAATAAATAATCTTCTGTTTTTGTTTCTTGACTGGATAAACTCGATGGGACATCATAATTCAGTGGCAATAGGACATACCAGTACTGTAAAATTTGTAAATGAGCGCGGTAAGGCTACCGATATTAATAATGACGATTTCTGGAGCGCCGCCAGTATCCACCAAAAATGGCACCATCTTAAATGGCAAGATCTTAAAAACACAAGATAGCGTTCTCCTCGATTTACGCGTAACAAATTATATAGAAGCGTCGATTTGGCACAGAAAAGTAATCAGTTTTGGGAGAGGGCGTCCTAGTCGTTGCCATGGATCTGAGATAGGATGTTCGCGTTACGCCATAAGTTTGTTACCAAGTACGTTAATTTGTTCCTTAAATTGCCTGTAAACGGTGCAGTGATGGTGTGGTGTTTCTTTTCTTGTAGTTAGGTTCATGGTAATTTTTGGTTCCTTCCTGTAGCGCCTTGAGCACTACTGGAGTGCATTTGTGCGCTTTATAAATCTTATTATTATTATTTATTATTATTATTCACAATTGCGATTAAAAAAGTGAAACAGAATAAACGGAATGGCCTACAAAAGAATAAAGAGAGTGATTATGATTGTAAGTAATATGATGTGAATAAGTATGTTTTCAAATGTGATTTAAAAGATCCTAGAGAGTAAGATTGTCTGATGTTTAGAGGTACGTTATTCCAGACGCTGGCTGCCGAAACAAAAAATGGTAAAGGCTCTGTCTACACTATCAAATTTAATCAAAAAAGCGTCACATAAAATTTGATGGAAAAATATCATCAAAATACATCAAAACTGCCTCAAAAAATGTGGTGGGAAGGTGTGATTTGTACTGTTTGCTTATTGGTCAAAGGGTGTTTTCTAAAATATTTGTCAACTATTTGACAGACAACATAAAAAAAAGTTAAACATGTTCAACATTTTTTGGTACAATTAGAAATTATGTGAAAAGACGTTATGAAAAAAAAGTTTAATACGTTCAACGTTTTTTGATACAATTTGAAACTATGTGAAATGACGTCATCCTGCCCATATAGGCACATCACATTTTATGTCGCCTAAAATTTGATAGTGTAGACAGAGCTTAAGAGGAAGTTGGTCAGCAGATCGGAGATCGAGTTCTTCGAGGTGAGATGGCAGGGGCGGATTTTGGGAGGTCAAAAAAAGAAAAAGAAAAAAGAAAGAAAAAGAAAAAAATGATAGCCCACAACGCCTCAAATGTAGAACACAAAAAATCCGGACTCCCTGGGACATTGTTGTCTCGATCGGCCCAAATTTCGTAAATTCAATTACAGTTGTCCAGACAAGCATGATCGAAATGTTCAGCAATGTGGCTATGTTGCAAATTGAATAGAATACTGCTCGTTAGATGGAAAAAATGTGGTTGTCCATCGAAGAAATGCCGAGAACTGTAAGTGACGGTGTGATGGTAGAAATTGAATCTAAACTCAGATGTGAGGGACACCAACCTTCGATCTATAATGTGTTGTGCCGATTAACTGGTTCACAAGAAAACTGATATAAATGCCGTTGTCAACTACAGTATATATATCACCTAGTAAGATTATTGAGTAAATGCAGTTTAATGATTTTATTTATATGAAGTACAGATTTTGATGAGCACTGTATTCTTAGAAAAGACATCGGCACCGCAACATATTTTGGCCTATGAAATGAAGTTGTTCAATAGAAATGGTTATTTTATTGTTGTGACTACTATAAGTTCCGAAGTTTGGGCATCTATGCACCGGTTTGAAACTATGCGAAATGACGTCATCCTGCCCATATAGGCACATCACATTTTATGTCGCCTAAAATTTGATAGTGTAGACAGAGCTTAAGAGGAAGTTGGTCAGCAGATCGGAGATCGAGTTCTTCGAGGTGAGATAGCAGGGGCGGATTTTGGGAGGTTAAAAAAAAGAAGAAAAAAAAAAGAAAAAAGAAAGAAAAAGAAAAAAAATGATAGCCCACAACGCCTCATATGTTATTTTCGGGGGTCTAGAACACAAAAAATCCGGACCCCCTGGGACATTGTTGTCTCGATCGGCCCAAATTTCGGCCCTCCATTTCGGCCCCCCCCCCCCCCCCCCCCTTTTGGACATCTCTGGATCTGCCCCTGGATGGTGCCACGTCATTGAGCGCTTTGAATGCGAGAATTGCCTGTTTGTATTCTTGAGAAGCCACGTGAAGATGTTTCAAAATTGGGGTGATTATGTTCTAGTTATTTTGATCTGGTGACTAGCCTTACAGCAATGTCTTGAAGTCGCTGAAGCCGTTGTATTTGTGATTGGTTGAGCTTACACTATGTAAATTCAATTACAGTTGTCCAGACAAGCATGATCGAAATGTTCAGCAATGTGGCTATGTTGCAAATTGAATAGAATACTGCTCGTTAGATGGAAAAAATGTGGTTGTCCATCGAAGAAAATGCCGAGAACTGTAAGTGACGGTGTGATGGTAGAAATTGAATCTAAACTCAGATGTGAGGGACACCAACCTTCGATCTATAATGTGTTGTGCCGATTAACTGGTTCACAAGAAAACTGATATAAATGCCGTTGTCAACTACAGTATATATATCACCTAGTAAGATTATTGAGTAAATGCAGTTTAATGATTTTATTTATATGAAGTACAGATTTTGATGAGCACTGTATTCTTAGAAAGGACATCGGCACCGCAACATATTTTGGCCTATGAAATGAAGTTGTTCAATAGAGATGGTTATTTTATTGTTGTGACTACTATAAGTTCCGAAGTTTGGGCATCTATGCACCGGATATTGAAATGTGCCTTGTATGGTCCATTGAAAGGAGTGGCCAAGACGGGCGTCAAAGTATCAACACAAGACAGAGATCACAGCTAAATAAATCGTTCGTTGGTAGCGCTACCAAGGAGAAAAAAAAACACATGGCAAGCTAGGCCCCCGGCCTCTCCACCCCTGAGGTCAGGGAGAAAAAAAATTACATGTATTTTCTACATACATACATACTCTTAAAATTAATTAAATACCGGTAAGCCTTTAAAACCCCTAAATTACAAAATTTTCGGGGGCTCCGCCTCCTGCACACTTTCGGAGCATACTGTATTAAGCGACGCTCGACCACGCCCACTTTTCTCTCGGGGAATTCTGCTCCCTAGTTGGCGAATCGACTCCCGGCCCCTCGCGTCGGGGACCTTGGACACCCCGTCGGCCAAATCCTGGCGCCACCCCTGGTGGCAACTGTACATTCCTTAATATTTAAACATTAATATTAAGATGTAAAGTGTCCAAAATGTGATTTTAAAATATCTGATTATTTTAAATGATAATGCATTACAAATGGTGTCAGAACGTCGTAAGAAGGCAATTGTTCGACAAATTATTTCAAAGATAACACGATTTATACAAGGATTAAATATATACAAATGTTAGGCATAAATAAGATATCCTAGGCCCTACATAGAAATACATAAAATATCGTTTAATATTAATTACAATGATAGAACAACATGTTAAAGTACACGCATGTTACAGCGTAATAGTATCAATTGATATCATGATAATTATTATTAATATTATCAATTCATTTCTAATGTATAGCTTTCACAAGCACGGAAGAGGGCGGGCTTTAAAGAGCAGACAGTGAGCTGAATAATGCTTGTTTTTTCTGCCTAATACTGCAGGTATTGCTGTAGAATTGTAAAACCATTTCCAAGTTGAATGCTGACTTGCATCCATCATTTTATCTATTAAAATGTAATTCACTGCTCTCCATTCTCGAATTGATTGCAATTAACCACATTTTACAATCAATATTTTAATGTAATTGGCAAATTACAATAGTTGTTTCATTTCATTACTAGATTTTATAAGCATTCCTAAATCTGTTATCTTTAAAACAAACCAATCAATTAAATATCAACTACTGTACACTTGGCAAATTCAGAAAAAGGGAATGGGAGTACATGCAAATCTCATTTTAACTATCATAAAATTTCAGAACTATGAAATAAATAAAGGATCCACAAGTTAAAAACAAAAATCATCAGTTATAAGCTCTTTCTCTCTTCGCACTGCCCTCTTGAATCTTTAAAATCCTTGATTTTGCCCCAACATGGAAATGTCATGGGTGCTTTGTATTATCTCTGAGGTATATCGAGCAACCCTCAAACAAATGCATATTATGTACTGTATACCATCTGAATTTCAATCAGCTAATGAATGATTATAATGAATTATGACATGAAGTCAAAATACTTGTCTTTGAATACAATTTTGTGTTCATCTATCCATCCCTTCATTTATATATAGATGTGTATAAGAGATTGTATTTGATGACTGCAGCCAAAATGCATACCTCCATTATATTTCCTGGTTCATTATCTTTCTAGTTGAAAGTTATAGCCACACATAAGAGTTTGCTGCCCTCGATCTTGAATTAAATAGCAAAGGTTATACTTTTCCAGCAGACTACATACATGCAATGTTCTTTCTTGTAGTCATTGTTCACTGAATCATTTCTTCTCAAAATCTTTGTCAAGGTATCTGACTTTAGTGTTGCCAACTGAATTTATCTGTGTCATGGAAGTTGACCAAATTCATTGCTAGACTTTTGTCCCTCACATATTGTTGAGGATATTGGAAGATACACACTACATGTTGTTATTGTCACACTGTTAGATAAAAAAAAAACAATTAAGTATTATACATTGATAATAAAAATATTTATTATATATTCATATTTTATTAAAAGACTGGGGGAAAATGGCATGTCCAGTAGTAACTTTCAAAATAATAATAATAATAATAATAATAATATATTTGTATAGTTCATATTGCACATTGCCACTATGCACTTTACACAAATATTTTATAAGGCCAAAAGAGAAAAGAAATAAAAATAATAAAAATAACATAACAATAATGATAATGATGATGATAATAATATAACTAAAATAATATTAATTATAATTTTGGAGACAAGTATATTATTATTAATATTCATTAGAAAAGATAGTTCTGGTGCATTACTGCACTCCTCAGTAAAGATATACAGGAGTGTCATGACTGCTGGGCCCTGTAGGATAATGCTTTTGCACTCACCATGTTACCCAGGGAAAAAGAAGAAAATTATTAAATAAAATAAATAAGATATAAAGTATTGTACTTGCCTATTCCAATGGTCACCTTTTGATACGTGAACCTATCCATTCCAAACCTTGATACAACCTAAACAAATTTAAACAGAACTTCAAAAATTGATTTTATTATTACACTATTCATAATAATACACATTTTTAATAATACAGTACCATTAAACAATAATGAGGGTAGGCAATAATATACAATAAAGTGTAAAATTAGAGAATGTATATATTATATTTACTTGGAGTAGGCCTATACTATATTCTTTGTGAAAACACAGAATCAATGGGTTAAAATGTCTCTTCAATTTAGTGCACAATTAATTATGAGTGTAGTTGAATAGCTTGGTGGTTAAGATGCTTGCTTTCCAATCCCAGGGTCCCAGGACTATCTTTTCACGACCAAAACAACTCCACTCCCTAAGCCTCATAATGAGTTTTAAGTAGAGCATCTAGTGAGTGTATGTTTATCTTGTGAGGGGATTGTCACTTTGAAGTGTGATAAAAAGTTCAGTGTCTGGCGTATTACCTACTACCTAAAGCTAAATTTATCCCTCTTTATAAAACCCTTGTTAGACCCTTGTGGAATATGCTGTACAGGTATGGTCTCCACACTATCAGATGGACATTAATGCCTTGGAAAAGGTCCAAAATCGTGCTACGAAACTTGTTCCTAACCTTCGGGATCTAACTGCAAAGGATAGATTATGTGCCCTTGGTTTACCATCACTTGAAGACAGGAGGATTAGAGGGGACATGATAAACTAATTTAAACTAATTCATGGGATTGAAAATATCGACTTTCAGCGTTTCTTTAACATTTCACATCCTGAACTTAGGACTCATCATACACGTGGTCATTCTTATAAACTTTTAACTCCCCGAAACAAAATGGTGTTCAAAGATTCTTTCTTTGACACCAGAGTAATCAAACCATGGAACAATTTACCACAACATGCAGTCTCATGCACAACACTTTATCACTTCAAAGTTTCCTATGGTCGACACATGGAAACATTGAGAGGAGGCAGTCTCTACGAGTAGTAACTCATTACCTCCTTATATCACTAAGGTAAGAATCACTAAGGTAAATAAAACAAAAAAATAAATGAAGTAAATATATGCTGTTGAAGCATGGTAACAGCAATGCAACATGGTAACTTACCCTTCCCCTGTTAGGGCACAACAAGCTTGTATATGCCAACCATGGTCTTTAACTGATGTTAAGTTTAGTTGTTGAGATATTTCAGTCGCAGACATTGAACCCTTCACGTCCTGTTTGTTGGCGTATAATAAAACTGCAGCATGCTTCAAATCCTGAAGGTGAAAATATTTTGCTTTCAATAGTAAGGTCAAAGGTTGGCCTATATATCTGGCTAAAAAAAAATAAGGTGAAAGGTGTAAAAATAAACCGATTTAATATTGATTTGTTTGGTTTTGTTTTTTTCAAGTTTATATTGTCTTGAGGTGGCACTATCAAATATTCAAATATTTTATATTGTCTTTTATTTTTTATTTTTTAAAAATTTTATTCACTTAATTTTTTTTATCAAGAATGTTTCTACGTAGTGAAAATGGAAATAAGTCATTAGGCTTTCTTGAGTTATCCTTAAGATTTTCCAAATAAATTCATTCATTCATCTTTATGCAAAATATTATAAAATCTGTTACATGTGATTTAATAATTTAGATCTGTTACATGTGATTTAATAATTGATATCTGTTACATCTGATTTAATAATTTAGAGAGCAGCTTAGCTCAGTCGGCTAATCTGGTGGTAGCCACTGTGTGTGCGTTGAACCGTGGAGATCTCTAGGTTCCCGGTTCAATTCCCATTGCTGCCTCTCGTTGTGTTTCAGCTAGAGGGCTGAAATACAAGTTACATAGCGCACCGTCTTTCAGATGAGACGTTTAAGCCGTTGGTCCCGTGTGCATTTATGGCACATGTGCACGTTAAAGAACACAGTACACTCTTCGGAAAAGAGTAGGGGATTGTCTCCCGGTGAACTGTATGATCACCACCAGAAGGACCCCACTGGAAATAAGTCTTCTTCTAGACTTTCGTGGGCTATCCTTGGTGTTTACACCGAATAAATCCAATCCAATCCAATCCAAGATGTCTGTACTCTATTTTATTTTTATCAATTGATAATGACTGAAAATAAATTCATAAGAGTTTATGATTGATGATTGGATAATTAACAATCTCTTATAAAATAACTTTTTTTTTTTAACATTTTGATGTTTTCTTATCAAAGCTTCATGTCTGAACAAACAACTAATTGATTTTAATCAATCAATCCATCACTGCGCAGTAGAAAAAATAAAGCTATAGATTTAAGCATAGAATACTTCATCTAACAAAACAAAGCAAGTTACCTACTTTGATTGAAACACAGATCACAATTCTGCTTTTACAAATTAGGGTGGGATTGGATTTACAGTATTTGGTGTAAATACCAAGGATGGAGGTCTCCCGCATTGCCCAGGAGTCTCCAGAAATTTTGGTTCATCTCTCACAGAAATTCCACATTTTCTCCCGGAATTTGAATTTCTATTGTATTTCTCCAGGATTTTAACAGATTTTGACAATTAGAGGCTTATGCTAAGCTAAATTTTACCATTCCTATGCATTAAATCTGGCAGACATAAGATTTATTGAACATTCTAGGCAGCAATATGGTATTAACATTGACATAAACCTGCCCAAGCCTGTTGCGTTTTAGCCTTTGCGTCACAAGCTTTTGCCTGTCCTTTCACAACTTGGGACCCCTGAGGATAACACATGAAAGTCAGATGAAGACTTATTTCCAGTGGGGTCCTTCTAGTGGAGATTGGGTAGTACACTGGGAGACAATCCCCTACTCTTTTCCCAAAAAGTGTAACTGCGTTCTCTAACCTGCACATGGGCCATATTGCACACGGGATCAACAGCTTAAATGCCTCATCCAAAAACGGTGCGCTAATAAAACTTGCATTTCAGCCCTCGAGCTGGAACACAAACACAGCAGTGGCTATTACCAGTTTAGCAGACTGACCTATAGTATCTCATAAAACTTAACCAATCACCATTAGGGAGCAGCTTAGCTCCATCAACTAAACTGGTGGTAGCAACTGTGTGTGCACTGAACCGTGAAGATCCTTCATAATAAATAATTTCTCATTCTACTTTTCAATTGAAGTACATAACTTACTTAAATAGACAGAGTAATCAAGTCAAACATTGAATTACTGTATGCTTTTCAATTTATTTAGCTGTTTAAATGATGAACTCACCTCGTTAGCTAGCATTTGATACAACTCTGATTTTGAAATGTGTAATCTCTCACGATCAGTACTGTCAACCACTAAAATTACAAACTACAAAAATAGGAGAAAATAGCATGGTATGACTACAATATGTAGACAGACAAAACATTCATGGATGATACGATGATGATTATAAGGATGATGATTGAGGATGATGATGATGATGAATTATGATTATGATAATTATGAAGCAATGTTGATGATGATAATAATGAGAATGATGATGACTATGAGGAAGAAGACAGTGAAGAGGATGAAGAATGTGATAATGATGAGAACAATGGTGATTGTAGCAATGCTTTGGTGATAAGGATTACTAGATAATGATGTTAATCACAATCAATCCATCATTAAATCAATCAATCAACTGGATATTTGTTGAGGTGCATGCAGCATCATTACATCAGATTATAAACAAAAAAAAGCAAACAAATTATAATAAAAATGAAGTTATTAATAGCATATAAAATTATTATTCAAGAATTAACCTGCTTTAATTTTGGTTCTTCTTGTAGTAATTGAAAGTTAGAAATGGTAATGATAGTAAAGCAAGTTAATGATGATGATGTTTTGTTGCCCAAAGAGTGACAATTAGAAATTGGGTTTGTTGTTGAGAATTATATATAATTTCAGTACTCATACGGTAGGACTAGAGTAGGCCTACATTCCACTGTTCATGAATTACCATCACATACCAGATGCAATTAAATTTGGTACAATAAATTAATCACAGGGCTAAATTAGTAATTGTTATTGTAGTGATGGAATAGACAATAACTGGATTTGCGTCAGGAGAATCAAGTATAGGATGGAATAGACAATAACTGTATTCGCGTCAGGAGAATCAAGTATAGGTGTAATTTTACACTACCTGACGTGGAAATGTACTGAATAATCAGTACGTGCGAAAACGAACAACTTGCGATTTTTTCGCAATTGTTTTCACACGTACTGAGTATTCAGTATATCCATGTCAGGTAGGGCAAAATTAATCTGTCAAATTAAGGCATTGTCGTAAGCCCACATCTTCTCTTTTTCATATTCCATTTTCTAGAGTTAATGTCCTTAAACATGGTTTTAACATCAGACTTCCTGCCACCTTCAATTCCTCTTTTTGATACAACTATTGATGTTTATTTTAATTCATTAGGTTTATTTAAAACTAAAGTTAGAAGTTGTTTATATGTTAATGCTTTTGCTGACATTTTTTTTTATCTGTGTTTTGTATTTCTTTATCTGTGTTTTGTATTTCTTCGTTTTGTCATTGTTACATGTATTCCATTCTTTTAAAGGCGGGCATCCTGCTGTTGGATGTGAACTAAAATAAAATAAAAAATAAAAATAAAATGAAGGAGAGTAACCTCTGTGCCTGCATAGTATGTGCTCCATGAGGACCTGAGCGATTCCTGCCCTCCAATATCCCACATCAAGAATTGAATATTACGCCACCTCACTTCCTCCACATTGCTTCCAATAGTTGGTGAAGTATGCACAACTTCATTCATCAATCTAAAAATTCAGAAGTAACTAAATGTAGCTTGTTATATAAAAAAATCTAGCAGATCTTCAAAACTTACTTTAAATTTAGGATACAGTATGATGTGATTGCATTTTTTCACAATCATGGAACAATTTATACAATCCTAGAAATCATATTACAAAAGAAAATTGAAATTGTAAAATCTGAGAGAGTCTCATTAAGACCAGGGTTTACAAGCATTGGAGCAGCCACCTAGCAAATTAAGTAATTTCCATGATAATTTCAAAAGAAAACAAAAGTATTGTAAACAATTTTCTTCTTAAAATAAAATAAAAAATCTCTTTGTATTAAAAAAATTATTTAAAAAAAATTTCATTTTCCTATATTGTATGAAGAACATAACTTACATAACATTTTTGTTTGTTTGGATATACATTTAAGAAATATGGAGTCCGCCTTTGTTTGTTACAATTAATTATCACACTATAAACTTATAAAATATTTAAAGGCGAAACCACATTTTTTTTAAACTGTCACAATTGAAGCTATAATTCATGTGGCAAAATCTAAATCTTATTCTAATGAAAAAAAACACTGTACTTACATTTGGTAGAGAATAGTTGTTTTTCCAGCATTGTCCAGCCCAACAATTATGACTTTATGTTCTGAAATTATAATAAATAAATCAATTCAGTGTTTAAAAACTTTGTTTATTACCTGTACAGTACTCACAAAATAGCAATTTGGATTTCTTTAAATTAAAATAAAGTATACCATATGGTACAGTACCACATTATAATTTTGTTTAATTTACAATGGTAGAGTAGAGGGTTGTGAATGGCAAAGATCAACAGCAAATGAGAACGTTTGGTACAAACACAAGCATAACGGCACCTACTGTATGCATATAGGGCCTACATATACTTTAAGTCTGGGGGTTTATTAGGCATTCACTTATCCCTGTTCCCAACTATAAAGTACTGTTACTGAAGGCCTGAGTGGGAATGCAGATTTCTGTGCAGATTTGACATAATCTGAATGTATAAACAATGTATACATCCCAACAATTTTGAACTTAAAACAATGAGAGAATTTGGCGCAAAGCGCCGCTGAGGGCCGTGTCTTGTTGTGGATTGGGGAGGGGAATCTCCCCATTATTACATGGGGGTCCATGGGGGGTAACCCCCTAGAAACTTTAGCTATTTAATATATCATAAGGGTAACTCTCCAGATTCTTATGCTTATAAATATTCTTTACTGACCAAACACCTTGTAATTACGATCCAAGGTGTACAAGATCATAGCATTATTTTATTGCAAAAAAGACAATACAATTAAGAATAAGATTAATACACTTGCAATTTTCTTTGTAAAGCAGTAGAGCATGTGAGAAAACGCGAGAAAAAAAAATTGGCCAGGAGTCAGGTCACCAAAATGGGAGTGTTGGCTGCGCATGTATGGTATTATGCAGCAATTTCAAATTTCGGCTTTTTTTAGGTATCATCCGCGAAATTAAAAACCTTTACAGTATGGAGTATCCATTATATAAATATTATTAATATAATTATTACATCATTAAATTATTATCCCACTAGCGTAGGCCTAGACTATTAGCAGGTAGTCCTAGTAGGCCCCAAGGGCCCAAGCAAGGGATTAGTACCAAGTATCCACACACGTCTCCAGTGCGGGCATCCAGAATGTGTCAGTGACCTGGCCCGGGATTTATCAATCTCAGCTAAGCAAATGTCTTAAGTCAAAAAAGTTAAGATGTCCCTAATAGTAAATTCGTAATAAATAATTTAAGCTGATTTATTACCTAATCTCAAACTTAGCAAAATCTTGGCTTGAAAATCGTCTTAGATATTTGCCAATGTACAATCCACTTTCTAATTTAAAGCAATTTTTAAGCTAAGCAATATGGATAAATTTGACTTAAGCAAAAAATGGACTTAAAACGAATTTAAGCTGATTTCTTGGCCTAAGCTTGGCCCTAGGTCTAGGCCCAGCCTAGGCCTAGTTAAATCTGGCTCCAACCCAGGTGTGGAAAAACCGGTGTTAATTTCTATTTCGAACAATGGCATTTTAACACATTGTACAAAAATTATAAAAATAAATACATTGTTCCATTTACAAATAAATTTAACTCAGTTATAGACGAGTTTATATGTATTTTTAGATATACCTACTGAACTCGGCTAAGCCTACCTTCGTTTGTGAACAAACTCCATATCTTGGAGAAAAGAAACCCCATGTCCCCCACTCGCCTCTCGCTGGTTTGGAGTTTGGTTTGAGCCCTAGGCCTAGGAATAGATCCTTCGTTCGTGAATTTTATATCACAAATATGTATGTTCTGGTAGGTGCTGAAAAAATATATTTTTTAAAATATCTGTGTAACATTAATTGGCATTTATCCAAATTAGATGTCGATCCTAAATTATAATCGGCGTTTCTGAAACTCAAACCTTTTCAATGGTACAAAATGTGTGTATGTGTTCCTCATTGCGTGGAAAATCAAAATACGCATGCGTGAATGATGTCTCCTCCGATCCGGTCTTGTGTGTGCGGAAATTATACGGCGTAGCCTTATGCAATTTTTAGTTTGATAATGGGTTATGACAAGCTAGAGGAAAACAAACATTCTTAGCTTTTCTAGTTCAAGAAAGCGTTCGACACCGTCTTGAGAGATGGTCCCATTAGTACGGTACTATTAAACAGATTGGCATTTGTGATAATATGCTTAAAGCCTTAATATAGGCCTAATTAAAAACATTATGAAAATGTTAAATGTAAAGTTTCCTTTAATGATATACTCTGAAATTTTTGAAATTAATGGAAGTGTGAAGCAGGGTTGTTGCCAGTGTCACCAATATTGTTTTGCATTTATATTAACGAATTGAACAAGATGGTTCGCGAAAGAAACTTAGGTGTAAATGTTTTTAATAATAGAATCGATTCATTGTTTTGGGCGATGATGGGTGATGCGTTATTCTCATTGGCGATAGTGAGAAAGAATTGAAATTGCTTTTACAAACAGCAAGCGATTTCTCAAAACAATGGAAACTCACATTTAATTATAACAAATCAAATGTATTAATTACAGGACAACGTAAGAATGTATATCGGAAATGGAAATTGGGAGATAATCATATTTCTGAGGTTGAACATTATAAATATCTAGGAATGTTTGTACAGTATACAGATCCATTAATGACACAACACATGTTGACTAAGTGATTAAAAAAGGGAAACGAATTATAGGCCTATCTTACATCAAGTCCATTTTGATGAACAGGAAGACTTTAATCTTACTATTTACTATGGGGACATTTTTGAAAACCAGGACTTCCAATTTATCAATTATCCTGTTCCATTTACGTAATAGCCGCTCCTCTATTGAAAAAAAATGGGAACCTACAGTATTTAATGGCAAGATTGCAAAAGAGGCCCTTTATGGTGAACTTGGATGGCAGTCGCTTGAATCCCTCCAAAATTATTAAAGAGTGTCATATTAACGTTGTCATTTGGCTTTATTTACCGAATAGTTCCGTAGTGATTTTCGAAGTTAAGTTGTTTTCTTCTTTTCAATTTTCTGTTGATTTTGGTATTTTGGATGCACCATCATTTTGGATGTGTGCCACTATAATGAAAGTGATTCCAAATGAAAACTAAACTAAACTAAACTATGACTCCATGGTTTGATATAGAGGTAAATAAACCGTTTTGCGTTAATGCTATGAGAAGGATTTTTGAGGGGGAGTTTTTTCAAAAGAGGCGTTTATCTGAGGGAGCGTTTATTTTTGGTTTAGTGTAAAATGGAAACGGCCTATTAATAAAATAAATGCCCTTTGATTTCACTGTAAACTAATTACCGGAAAAAATGTATTGCGTGATCATAAAGTTACATTGAACCAAACCAGAACATAGAATGTGTTGCTTCCATTTGGCATTTGATGTGTTTACAGTCATTTAGGGAGGCGTTTATTCAAGGGGGAAAACAAACTTAATATCGGGGCGTTTATTTGAGGGAGGAGTTTATTCCATGGTCCAAAGGTTGGGGGGGGGGGGAATTATTCAAGGAGGGCGTTTATTCGAATAAATTAGTATACGTTACATTATAGAATTTTTTTTTTTCTATTTTCACTGTTGTTTGTTCTGATGCTGTTAGTACTTTTTAAATCATTTTATTAGGCCTATTGTTATTGTTATTGTTTACGTTTCTAATAAAATGAAATGAAATGAAATAACCACAGACATCTTTCGAGAATTATTCAGGATTTGGTTAATGGTGTTCTCTGTTATTTGAAGAGTCTTATTGAATATGAAGGAGTACGTAGAGGCCTTTTGTGGCCAGGTTAATTAATTTAATTGCAAGATGACAGGCCTGCCAAAAAATCGAAAAACAATAGTTTAGATGAAATTTTGCTACAGAATTCCTTAAATTGTCAGCCAATTTAATGGTTTACCTGGCCTATGGAAAATATACCGAGGCCTACGAGAAAAAATTGATGGATGGGGATTTTTTTTTCTCTCATTCACATTTTTAATTGTAAGTTAATAACCTCTTTAAATAATAAGCAATTCAAATTTGGAATTGAATTTTTCTTAAGATAGTCTTCGAATGATGTCCTTTAAATTTAACAAGCAAAAAAAAAAAAAAAAAATTCACATAAACCATTATCACTTTGCTTTTCTTGTCATTAGAATATTAGACACTTAAATGTAATAAGCAAAAACTCAATAGAAAGGAAAATTAATGGACAAACCCTCAAACGCTACTGTCAACAGCATCATCATTCTCACTCGTCACCAAAGTGACCCGGAAAGTGGAGGGGTCGATAACACCATCCAAGTACTGTATTGTAATTATATGTAGCATATTTTCTTAAAGGAAGGCCTGAAGTATTGCGTAAATCCCTATTTTATGATTTTTTATGGTCCACTCACTCTGAACTACTGTAGCGACAACTTCTAGGCCGCAAATTGTGTTACCAGTACTTAAATTACCTTCATTCAAGAAATCAATAGTCTGTATAATAAAAATTAATTAAATGTGTGTAACTGATGACCGTACTTCATTCATGATTATATCCTGAATAAAATATAACCAATATTTCAACATTATAAAAAAATAAATACACCGATATTTTGGTATCCTAACACGAGTAATAGCAGTTAAACAAGTAAACCAAGAAGTAAACGCATTCTGACGTGTGTATAGTGGCGTCAAGGGGCATCCCTCCCCCTCTGGGACGGTTGTAGGATTGGGAGGTAGAGGGTGCGTGAGAGTCCATACCACCTCAGGCCGCGGTGAGGTGCGAAAACTTTGACAACATGGACCTCTAGGCGCCTGGAAATTGCACTCTCATACCTTAAAATCTTACCGGTACTAGTAGTATGTTATCAATACAATACAAACAACTGTCTTAATACGGCTCTGATCGCACTGTTTGTACCACGCCCACCTCCCCCACCCCTCTATTTCGAATTTCGGAATCCGCCACTGGTATGTATTTGCAAGAGAATTGGGGGAGGGGGGATATAATCAAGTCTGGGACAGCTGAAATCCAAAAGTACTGTAGCTTGTAAATTATCCCTGTTCTCCGAAGTCTTCTTTTCTTTTCATAAACAATACTTAGAAACATACTAAATCCAGACATGTTTTAAATGATGGCTTAATGTTATCTCATAACGTTAAATACCATATTTATTTTGCCATATTTTAAAATAGTATACAAATACAATACAAACAAATATTGATATAGACACAACAATAGCATAAATGTTATATTTGATTTATTCCATATGAATCTTTAAAACAAAACAAACATCTTATTACAGATTGGGGATAACATTAAACTAAAAAATGGCAAGGATAGATATTTTCATAGGGTTTGCCTACCTACACGATCACACGCAACATAAGCACAATAATTGTAGAATTAAACCAGGGGTGGGTATAAAAATCGGTCGGAAGTCCAAAGTCAATTTTTGACTTAACACCGACGGACGCACGCTAACTTAGATGTTTACAGTGTGCTTCCAAAAACCTTTAAGCACTGTTTTTACACCAATTTATTCTCAGTTTTAATATTACTTTCTACCGATGGTTGGTGTCGACGAGCTGTAAAATTTTTCTAGCCAATGTTGCTTGTCAGGCCGCACATATAGGGTTTTTAATTCATTTTCGCGGGTCACAAAAAAAAATCACTGGCGCGACTCATGCGGCCTGCGGGCCCCACTTTGCCCACTTGTGAATTAAATAATAAAAAAAAAACTATAGTTAATAACAACATCAAAATAATATGTTAATGATAAAATAAACTTAAAAGGGAAATTCGAAAGAGCACCATTTCCGGCTGCAGCAAGGGTGATAGATACAAGAGATAACAATTAGCGCAGTGGTAAGGCTAGGCATCAAGCTTATTGGACCTTTTCGCGTGTCATTCCAGTAACAACCAATCAGAATACTGTTGAAGGTCCCACACCTTAGCAACAATGTCCAGAGGCGAGGTTTAATGATAATGTCTATCTGCTGTCGATGGTTATAAGGACAAATGCTACAGAAATTCTTTGTGTCCTTTGTAAGACACTATCTGTTTTTTTCTTTCTTACATCCAGGAGTAAAAATGAATACAGTGTATAATGTAAATGATTTCAACATTTTTTGGTAACGTTGAATTATAACTAGGAACAATACTAAGAGAACAGAGGAGATTGAATGTTTTATGTAACTAATTCTGAATGCAAGCACACAGTGACTATGGAATTATGCACTTCATAGATATGAAAAAAAATTTCCCGGAAAAAGGCGATTTATCGCCCAACAACCAAGTTTGTCTTGGTCCTATTTCTTATTCTTAAAAAAAAGAATTAAGAAGATTGACAAGAATCTAAAATCCTGCTCATTATTTATTTTATAGATTTATATAAATTCAATATTTTGACTGATTTTTTTTAAATAATATAGTTATCGTTGAATGTTTAATCCAAATTTTAGGTTTTGTATTCCAAATGACCAGCTCAGTTGGTTGGACCACCCTCACAAAACAATGTTGAAATAAATCAGCATATTAAAAATGTTTAAAACTGTCTTCCAGAAGAAAAATGGCAAAAGTGGTAGAACACAGAAAAGTATAGATTATTTCTAAAATTGTACAACATTATTTTGAAATTTTCATGCTCAGCTTTAAATATTGTTTATTGACTATGCTTGTCTGCAGTGATAAAAAAAATTGTCAAAAACAAAGTTACCTTTCTTGTCAAAAACCAAATATTGTAAAATCATATTAGTTTCATAAAATCTTTATAAAACTGTTTCTGATCATGATTATTTGCTCTGGTCTAAAATCTTTTACCGCTTCTCAACTGTGACCCAGATTTCATCGCTTGGAGTTGTAACAAGACCATGGACTGGCTCAATCACAAGTCCCTCTACAAGATTGAACTTAAATTTGCGAATAAGTTGAGACAGGAAAACAGTCAACTCAACGTAGGAAAAACGGTAACCTGGGCACATGCGTTTACCAGCGAAACCAAATGGTGAAAAGGCCAGTTTATCACGATGCTTTGAATTCTCTTCGCTGAATCGGTCCGGATCAAATCTGTCAATCAAACAAAGGGTTATTAAATAATGTTTTTTTTAATGTCAAGATTTATGTAGTGTGTATTGTCAAAGCATATATTACTGTGTATATGTATATATATATATATATATATATATATACATATGTGTATAAGAGACAGGCATTCTGACGTGTGTATAGTGGCGTCAAAGGGCATCCCTCCCCCTCTGGGACGGTTGTAGGATTGCTTACTTTCTAGGCTCTGGCCAGTACTTTTCATCCTCCTGCACCACACCAAGTGCATGGATTACTGGAGTCTAGAAGAGGATGGAATTCATAGTTTATATTACTAGAATGATAACTCCATATTATAATCAATCATCAAAAATTGGATCTTTTCTGCAAAAACCTGCAAAATGGCTGTTCCACTTGATTTTTCTAACATGTTATGGCTGTGCATTCTTGCCACAGTGCCATAATCAACTGGAGAGATGTCCGAAAGAGGGGGGGGGGGAGCCTGAAAGTGGGACTAGCGGCAGTTTGGCGCAGCAGTTGACGTTTGGGCTTTTAATCGTAAGGTCAGAGTTTCGAGTCTCCACTGTGCAGATCCGCTTGTGTGCTTGGGCAAGGCACTTTAGCTACATTGCTTCAGTCCACCCAGCTGTATCAATGGGTACCAGCAAACTGCTGGGGACTAACCTGCGACGGACTAGTGTCCCATCCAGGGAAGTACAACTCTCATCCGCTTCACACTACAGAAACTGGGGATAAGCTCCAGGCCTATGAGCCCAGTGGCTCGGAAAGGATTTAGTTTTTTTTTTAGTGAAAGTGGACCTGATTGAGATAACTGTAACCAACGGGGTCCGGGGGAATGCCCCCTCAAAATTGTTGTGTTCTAGACGACAGAAAATAACCTCCGAGGCATTTTGGGCGATCAATTTTTCTTTTCTTTTTTTCCTTTTTTTCCTTTTTTTTTACTTTCCAAAGGTGAGGGGGAGGAGGCTGGGCCTAAATCTTCCCCTGTATATGTTCAACATATATAGCTAAAAAATATAATTTCTTCAATAAATATACCATTTTAGGGACAATGTGTCCGCCAATTTGCACATCCATCTCTTGAAATCTTGCGGCTGTTGGTGCAAGCACGGCTGTTCTCATCGTCTCATCCAAAACTTGTCTCGTGTACCTAACAAATACAATTGTAAGATTGCAGAATTGGTACTTTAATGAAATGTTAATAAAGATATAGTAAATTTAATTTACCCAAGAAGTTTCAACCCACAATGGAGTACTGTTGTTGGTGTGACAGCAGGCTAGTCCCAATAAGCTTCAACCCACAATGGAGTACTGTTGTTGGTGTGATAGCAGGCTAGTCCCAATAAGCTTCAACCCACAATTGAGTACTGTTGTTGTGATAGCAGACTGGTCCTTGATGTGGCAGTAAAGCTCGGTTTCCATCAGGGGTTTAGCAGAAAAACGAATTAGGCCTTCCAAAATGGAAGCCAGTGGGTGTGGCACTGTGCAGATGGGTGGGCCACGCCCCTTCCCAAACGCAACGACAAAAAATAGAAAATTCTGATCTTAGGGCATTTAAAGGTGTTTAAATTTTGGAATTTTGTCTTCAAAGGAATAGTACTGAATGTCACAAAGATATTTAAGTTATAGACATACATTGCATTACAGTATTTACATAATGTTTCTAGGTTATGCAGATGCATTTATTTATTTATTGAACCATATTTCAAGAGGGTGACCCATCCAGCGTGAGCTGATTTTTGAAGGGGCCCTCAACAGTACAAACGATGAATGAAAAACAAAAGTAAAAAAAGAATTATCAATAATTTTTAAAAAGATTTTTAAAGCAAAAGTTTAAAATGCAAAGGGATAAAATATTAAAGTGTACTATTATTAATAATATAACTCTTTAGTTTAGTTTTAAAATTAGAAAAGCTACTAGAGTTTCCTAAGGAAACATCAAGTGGGTTAAAATATTTATGTCCTTTATGATTAAAAGAATGTTTAAAAAGATTGCATTGCGGTCTTGGAATGACAAGGTCTCCCCTGGAAAATTGCATCTTCATCTCTCGACTTCTATTTAGTGTATATTCTACTCTGAACTCCGAATCAAGAGATAGGCCTGGATCTACTGTATTTTGTTGAATAATAAAATTTAACTTGTGATGTTAACAACAAATCTTCTTTACAGTATTTCATGAATTAATTATAACCATAGAGTTATGAATACCAACAATGTTATGTCAGGGATTTGCAGAGCCACATACATGCGTTGTGGGCGACTCAGAACCGTCCATTTTCCAGCGGGGTGTAAATGTTTTTAACATGACGCAAGGCGTGTTGTTGTGAACTTTTCACCAGGTAGGCAATGGTTAAGTTTACATTTTTGTGAATCCCCACCAAATATTGGTACGAAAATAATCAATAAAGGTTGTGCTTATCAAACGTAAATATGATTAGCTTTAGTTTAATGTAACATTCAACAGATTTGAAGAATATAAAGAATTTGCTAAAGGCAGACCAGGCCCAATTAGGATAGGATGAGCTGAATAGACCAAACCGTCCAAGCCGTTATGGTAAAAGTGGCTGTCCTAAATAATTAGGGCTCACTGGCTAAGCCTATGGTTTCCATACAATCACTGCCACTACAGTTTGTTACTGCAATCGTTGCACTGCGTAGCTGTTCCCGACGCAATCGGGAACGCTCCCTGATTTAACTGACCAATCAACGTCGCCAAAAAGAGTCAACGATAGTATGTAGCAATTTTTACGGAAACCAGGCTTAAACAGGGCCCAAGTAGTTGCTACCTGCTTCAACTCTTTGTAACACCAAATTTAATCCAAAAATATAATTTCTACTGGTTTTTTATTTACAAAATTTTGTTAAACTTACACAAGTTTACCAATTGTCTCTGGAGTAACCTTTTCATCACCAAGTACTTCTTTGAACTCTGTGTACAATTTCTCCTCTACATCTTTATGAGTTGCCAGAAAATACAAACACCAACTAAGAGCTGTAACACAATAAAAGTAAACAAGTTTATTGTCACTAATGATGATTTTTTCCTCACCTGGCATTTTATTCAACAATAAACTTTACCATAGCTAATGTATGCCAAAGCAGAGTACAAAGTACAAGGTAAATTGTTTTACCAAAGTAATTTTATCTACATTATA